TCTAGCGTCACTGTCCAGGAGGATGGGTGGCTTCTCCACCCCCACAGCCTCATCCCCAGACAGAGGTGCTGAGCTGGGTGTGCTTGTGCAAGCAGGGACGAAGCTGCAGGACCTGGAGCAGCGGGTGGCGGTGCTGGAGGAGCAGTGCCGGCAGAAGGAGGAGCGCCGCGTTGACCTGGAGCTCAAGCTGACTGAAGTGAAGGAGCAGCTGAAGCAGTCGCTGGCGGGAGGGCCAGCCCTGGGGCTGGCTGTGACCAGCAAGGCTGAGAATGGGGTACACATCCCTTCTTCCTCATTCTTGCAGTTATGGCTTCCCCAGTGATGGTGCTTGGGGTGGCAGGGGGAGAAGGGACATTCCTGCTGCTTTGTCCCATGTGGACAGAGGTGGGAAGCAAAGCATCAATTAGATTTGGCCACAGAAATTTTGACCTCATGACAGTTTGTGCTTTTTTTTCCAGCTGTCCTTGCTTCCTGGGTCTCCTAAATCCTCCTCCTTCTTTCTTACCCTTTTCCACAGGAAGCTACGAACAAGCCAAATGGGAGTCCTCCTGAGCACTTGGTCCCTGTTAACTGTGCAGCTGAACTGAGGAAAAGAAGTCCCTCCATCCTCCCTGCCAACAAGGGAAACGTGCTGCGGAAGGCCAAGGTCCTGCTTTGCTTCCCCTCTCCTGCCTGTCCCCACAGGAAATCTCATCCTTCGTCCTGTCCCCCTTCCTTGACCATAAAATTTGGGTCTGGTGATGCTCCCTTTCCCAAAAGCAGGGGGTACTGCCAGGGTCTCCTGCAGCCAGGCTGGTCCAGTTTAGTGACACTCACTGCTGGCATGAGCCTGGCTTGTAGGGAGACCTGAAAGGTGCGGGCCTGGGTGGGCAGCGGAGAGAGCATTGTCTCTATGATGACAGGGGCAGCAGTGACCCCAGGCTTTGAAGATGCTGGGGTGGTCCAAAGCCCCTAGTAGGGAGGGCTCAGTGCTCACTTCTCCAGCAATGTCTCCTCATCCCCGGCTTTTCTTCCTTTCTGTGTAGGAGTGGGAAAAGAAGCAGACTTAAGCAGGGCTGCGGGAACAACTGCCAAGCCCCCGCCAGACAATGGGGCTCATGAAGGAGCTACAAGCCCCCTTTCTCCGAGGCACCAGGAGGGTGCTGGGAAGGCATGCAGGGGGAGATGCCCTCCCATGGCCCACCACTGCAGCACCATCTGCCTCGTGGGCAACACTATAAACCATGGGGAAGGGAGTGGGAGGGGGATTTGGGAGGAGGGTGGGGAAGGGGAGTCCTTCATGGATCAGTCACATACTACCAGCAAATCCATCTCTGGGGGAGCCTCCCATGGGGCCAGGAGTTCGACAGAAGGTTTGTGTGCCCGTGGTGGTGTATAAGGAAGGAGGGGAGAGCCCGGGGACTATCAGTCGGTGCTGCCTGGCAGGCATTCTGATTTCTCAGGATCAGTGTGTGCCACCCTGGGGACACAAGAGCCAGGCTAACACTTTCTAAAGCAACCACGGACTCGTTGGTATTTTTTGGCCCCCTTGATGTTGGACTTCATGAGCTGCTCAGGACCAGACTCTTCGGAGACGCCGATCATTAGCCCTGCTCACTGCTCCCAGCTCTGCAGGGTCTCATCTCAGGGTTCCTCATGTCTTGAGCTCACTGTGCCTCCACGAAGTGCCCTTGTCCAATATTTACTTCTCGTCCTCCAGGCAGTAAGGGTGAGAGCACACTGGCTTCCCTTGGGAATGAACGAAGCTCAAGTGTCAGCATTTGAAAGCAAATTAACAGCGGATACCTTTCAACCTTGCTAAATAGCTTAGAAGTGCTTCAAAGGGCTGAGGCTGGAGGCAGCCCAGATCTCTCTGCCCTAGCCCCATGCCAGCTTTTGGGAAAGAATGGAAAAGGACAAGGTTGTCTCCTGGCCAACAGTGCATTCACACTATTGCTGCTGCAGACACAGTTTGCCAAGGCATGTGGTCAAAATGGCGCAGAGGGAAGTTTAAAAAATTTTTAAAAAAAAGGTTGCTTTCAAATGAGGGGACTGAAACAGAAAAGAGAAAGAGGAAGGTCATTTAGCACAGGCAGAAACAAGGGACAGGAATAAAAAGGAAAGGCCCAGGCTTTTGTGCCAGGAACAAGAGAGCAGGCCCATCACCCACTCATGCTAACGACTGCCACAATTAACCTTTGGAGCTTGTTCTTTCAAAGCCCTCTTGTTAGTAACTAGATAAGCAGCTTTTAATAAAAACACTGGCACTGTCATGCCCCTTCCTCTGGCTGTAGGGAGCATGGTGGGTAAACTGCTCCTGCTCACAGTGAAATGGGCCGGGGCAGGTGTGGGGTGAGCTCGGCACCCCTGTGGCAGTGACTGCTGGGACAGGCAGGCGAGGTGAATCTTATACACTGGATAAGTGACTGCATTTAGCTCAGAGCCATGATCTTAGCCTGCTGTCCTGGCAGGAAGGGCTCCCTGGCTCCCAGGGATGGGGTGCAGGAAAGCCCCGTTCCTGGTGGTGCTTGTCCTTGGCAGCAGCTATCCTGTGCTGGTTGTCCCTGCTCCTGTCCCTCTGGAACCTGGAGCTGCACCGTCTCATTTCATTTCAGAAAAGGTTAAAACTCTCTCCTCAAAGCATCGCCTGTCCCACTAAAGGTATGAGGAGCCTGTGCCCACAGTGGGAAGAAGTAAGAGCTGGACCACCACAGCCTGTGGAAGTACATCATAGAATGGTTTGGGTTAGAAGGGACCTCAAAGATAATCTAGTTCCAACCCCCCTGCCACAGGCAGGGACACCTTCCACCAGCCCAGGTCGCTCACAGCCCCGTCCAACCTGGCCTTGAACCCTGCCAGGGAGGGGGCAGCCACAGCTTCTCTGGGCAGCCTGTGCCTGTGTCTCACCACCCTCACAGGGAAGAATTTCTTCCTTCTAAGCTAAATCTGCCCTCATTCAGTTTAAAACTGTTACCCCTTGTCCTGTCACTACCGTCCCCGACAGAGTCCCTCCCCAGAAAACCAAACACCCAAAAAACCGTTTAAATTCAATGCGGATAAACTCTGCAGCACATAATAGAAGCATCTGTGTATGTGGGCAGGTGAAATGAATAAAAGTCAAAATGCATGTTACTTATTCTAGAGGTTTTTTTTCCCAGGGGGAAAAAGCCTGAAAAGACCACTTAAATGCAATAAAATAACTCTTCAGGACATAGCAGAAGCAACTGTGTGAGGGACTAAATGTAAAGATGTGTGTTTGAAAGTCCTTCCTCTTTCATATGCACTTATATATGTGAAAACTGCTTTGCCCCTCTCAAAATGTGCACCGAGTTTGAAAGAGGTGACTGATGGGAGCTGGGCAGGCTTCCTTCATGGAGGATCTCCAGAACCTGCCGCTGGTGTGAAACTCCTCTCTGTCCCCAGGTTCTCGGTGGCTGTGCCTGTGTTCACAGCCAGCAGGAGCGGCTCTGGACAGCAAAGCGGTGGGTGGGGGGCCCGGGCACCCATGCTGTGCATGTCTTGGGGACTTCTGACCCTGGGCTCCCTGCGGTCTGGGAGCCTACTGCCGGTTTACAGCTGTCCTGCGTTGAGGTGCACGGCACAATCTTGTTCTCCGGCTCCACTGAAGAGGAATCTACATAATATTAATCTCTGGTATCACTCCCTGATGAAACAGAGCGCAGTAATTGGGAGTAATTAGGAGATGTCCTTCCAAAGCGTATTCATGAGAGCTGAAATACTCATGCAGATGTTTCTGTGTGTCTCAGCACTTGTGTACGTTGTCATGCTGATTTGGGAGAAGTGAGTGTTTAAGGAGAGATGGAGTAGAACCCTTGTGTTTAGACAAAACACGACAGATGCGCTTTGGGGTGTTCGGGTATTGTTCCTGTGCTCCAGAAAGAGGTGATACTATTGTTCTGACCACAGAGACTGGTTCTCATTAATTAAATTCTAACCTTTAAGGACAAATGGCTTAAACCGGTGGCTGCAATCAACTTCTCTGCTATTTGGCTTTCTGTGACATCAGTTTGTAAAACTTTTTGTATCACCAGCATACTTGTATAATCCTTTCACACTCACTGGGACTTCCCCATGTCTGTCACTTCAGGATGTGTCAACTTCCTCCAGTGATGATTTCTGCCTATTTTTAGGGCAGCTGTGATCAAGACTGTGTTTAGAAGATGGAGCACAGTGCAGTGGACAGGCTATAAATAGCACTTGCCTTTTTTAGTGAAATATTTCTTTCATCCTGAAGGAAGAAGTACATTGAGCGGCATTTTCAATTCTGCATAATTAGTCCTTCTTAAGAGTTCCCTTTAGAGTTTGTGGCTCTTGTTTCTTGCCTACAACTTCTAAGGCTGGCTCATCCGAACAGCACGTGGTACCCAGGGTATGTCACTGCACGGGGGAGTGTTCTGGGACTTGGTTTCACAAGCTGGAGAAAGGAGTCCATGCAGGCAGCTCTCTGCTTCACGTAGGCAGGTCCCATCGCTGAGGCACCAGCTCATTCATGCCCCTCTCCTCCTACACACCCAAACACACCCATTCGTGTAGTGTAAATCACTTGCAGAGGGAAATGACTCAACTAACTTTTGCTTCTTGGATGCAAAAGAGTTAATTAATTTGTATAGCTTTTTTAGGATGCAGGAACCTGTGAAGTGCCTGGCAAGGCTGCTTTCTCAGCTGCATTTCAGGTTGTTCTTTGGCTCATTCTGTAGCATGGCTAATTCCCATCCCTGCAGCTCCTTAAATGAAAGGACAAAGCTTGTACCTGGTGCTTACCACCGACACACCTTTTATTTACAAAGAAAGATTTGCAATTGTTTAAAGCTTCACAGATTCGTTTTGAGGGCTTGGTGAAGGGGGTCCTTCTCCGGCCTCACCTCTGGTTTAGTCTACTTTCTATAACTTTGAAGAAGTGCTGTGTTAACCAGTCAACAAAACAAATGTGACTAGCATCTTAAAAATCATTCAAGATGGGGTCTTGTGCCCCAGGGAGATCTCTATGCAGCCAGGGATAAAATGTGGGGTTTTCTTTTGTGTTGGCATTCCTGGCACCCAGAACTGCAGTGGTTGGGCAGCTTTATGAAAAGAGCCTAGTAACAGCCCCTCGCCTGGTTCTTTAAAGATTACTGTAAGGAACATCCTATTCTTAAGCAAGTGTACGTATCAGAAGCACTTTCAGATTTGTATTTAGCATGTAGTGTGTTGAAAAGGAGTGGTGTGACATATAGATGTTTTAAGTACCCGCTTGATAAAAAGATTGCACATGCAAATGTGTTCAGATGGGAAAAGGAAGTTTGTCACTAGTGTTGTGGGACATGTAGCAACCTTGTATTAAAGATAAAATGAGGGAACATCGGTGCTGTGAAGCAGGGAGTGGTAGGAGATGCTTGGTGGCCTTTAGGCAGATAGAAATCTCTTAAACTGTGCTTTGGTCATAGAGCTGAGCCAGTCTAAGCCCTGGCTGCCACCCAAAGGGGTCACCCCTTCCCCATACTTTCCCTCCCACATCTCACTAGGCTTCACATGTTTCTCTTCTCTTTTGTACTGACACTTGCACTCATCTGATCTGTCAGCAAACCTATTCAGGGGCACAGACAGAAAAGTCTTTTTGTTTTGTAGGGTTAGTTTTCAGCTGGTTTAACTCCCTGAACCTTCATTCTGTACAGCTCCAGTACTGGAATAAGGGGAGCAATCCTGTCCCTTTCAGTTGTGGCTGTAAGCTCAGTTTAGCTGGATTGCTGAACAACACTTAGGTCTCATGGCTTATTTGATAGACCCAGAAACAAAAGCTGTGCTCTTCTGCGACATTGTACCGGAGCAATATAATCTTGCTGAAAAGTAAGAAAGCTTAATGGTGCAGGCCTGGTAACATTAACCCAGCTACATCGATTCTGGGGCCTAAATTAACATCTCTGTGCAGTGTTGAATTGTGCTGTATAAACACAGAAGTTTGAGAAGGTGCCAGCGCAGTTATTTCTGTGCCATGCTGTGTTTCAGTCGGTAGATGTGCACTTAGTATATGCAAAACTACTTTATTAAAGGGGATGTTGAAAGCTCGGGTCAGAGGAAGAGCCTGGGTGTTCCCAAAAAAGGTGACACCCTTCTTCGTTAAGTGTATACCAAAATGTTTCCTGAATGGAGCTGGTTTGGAAGTAAGTTGAATTTTATTCTGCAGACTCTGTGCCTGGTCTAAGGCATGAGAGGGAGGTGGACTGAGGGTTTGGCCTCATGCTGCCAGGAATGGGTCCAGTCTAGGTCGGTTTGTAAAAACAAGGGTGTAGGACGGGGAGTAAAAATGCTTGGTTTCACTCTTGGAAGTGACAGTGTTGTTACTGCAGGTGAAGGGCTTTCTGGAAAAGACAGAAGGAAATGAGAAATATTTTCTCTATTTTACAAAGTGTCTAGCATGCTGGTTCTGATCATCTCACCAAACTGTTTTCAGCCTGACTTCTATTATCTAGTTTTTGGGAAATCTGTGAGATTGTTACAGTATAGAATAGGCTGCTAAGCACCTAGACGGTGTTTATACAGCTCAATCCAATTATCTGACTCTTTGGCTATTTCATCACTCCATCAGCAAATTATGGAGTTAGCCTCCTGGGTGAGCTCCATGTGCAGTACCAACATGAACCAGTGACAAGTGTGCTTTTTAGTTGAAACAAAAAAAAACAAAACCTGGAAATAAGGTAGGCTTCAGCACTTGAGGCTTGGGCTTCTTTTGGGTTTTTTTTTGCCTTTGTGACTCTTTCATTGCTAGTACAGAGAAACAACTGAAGTGTTTAGTAGAACTGTTGGAGAATATTAGGGACAACTTTCAGTCAGCATGTTTAGTCCCTTTCCCAAACACAGCTGATGGTGCTCTGAAGGTTCTGGCAGAAGGCCTCAGAATATTTGGGCTGCACACAGCTTGGTCATGTCTCTGACTGTTCTCTTTGGTTTCTTCACTGTTCTTTGTGCAGTGAACCTGAAACCTGGGTACAATCTAGAGATTGCTGTTTTGTGAGAAGAACTGAGTGGCAAAATGTTCAAACTATCCTCCTTTTTGCTTAACACAAGGAAAACCGAATGCACCAAATACCATGTCTTTTTGCACCCAGGAGAACAAATGGGTCAGAGCATCTGAGAACTGGATTCTCCATTAGCCAGCAGTTTGAGATGTGTATGGTCTTTCCTTGCTTGGTGAATTGCTGCACGAAATCCACAGCCATTCCACTGGTGTGACTTGCCCTTGTGTGGTCACTACCATCTTAAGTAGCAGGCAAGGCTCTGCTTGCATATCTTAAGTGCCATGGGTTTGCAGATTTTACTGAATTTTGCTCAAAACATTTGGGGTTTTTTAAATAACTGTAAAAACAGCTTTATACAACCTGCCTCCTTTTCAAGACTACCTTGCAAAAACATTTCTGAAGTTTGACATTTGGTATTGACCACCTGTACTGGGAGGTCAGCAAAAATGCAACCCACAGCTTGTTTTCCTGTGAAAATCTGACTCTTTTCAAGGTATGTCAAAGAAGTGGTGTACAGCCCCTATAGTGACATGTGAGTCTAAAATACAAGGATTTTTCAGAACATCTGTCTCTGTGTTTCTGTGCTAGATGTCCATATTTTCTGAAAAGAGCTAAAATTTTATCTAGAATCATATGTACATTTTTTAAGAGAGCCTGCTTTTAGTAATGACACTAAACTAGAATTCTTGTTGCCTCTGTTGCTACTTAACTTCCCTTCTTTGTCACTAGTTTGTATTTCAGGGGGTCCCCCTGTGTTTTCAGCACTGCAGCTCAGCAGAGAAGTACAGGAGATGAGTGTGGCCCAGAAGATCCCCGTGATGAGCCCAAGCATCCTCTTTCTGACTGTGCCTTACAGCACAAAGCCATCAAATTGGAAGAACAAGTCCGGGATTTAACTGTGAGTATGCTGCTGGTGGTATCATGATGTCTTTTTTCAGTCCACTTGATTTGGTCTGTCTTTCAGTCCTAGCTTTTTTTGTAAGCCCTGTAACACACACACAACGCCTCTGGGCTGTGGCAGCCTTCAAAGCAGCTGTGCTCTAAGTGTGAGAGGGGGCACTGTGAAAGTACAGCCTGCCTACCCCAGAAATGTCATCCGTCAGTAGTACCTAGGAGCAGGACACTGATAGTATGATCCTGGCAGGCAAAACTGTATGTTGGAGATGATCTGGTCCATTCTTTCACAGCATTGTACAGAGAGAATGGCAGTGGCTTCGTCCTGATTAGCATCACATGTTGTGTAAGTCCTCTTCAGTGACAGTGGTGTGGTGGAAATGGCGGGGATGATGTTATAGAGACTTTGAAAAACAGATGTGACTAAGGAGAGGATTAAATACAGGAGCACTGGACAAGCAGTTCTGGAGATAGTCACCATGAGAGTACTGCTGCACCAGGCAATAAATCAGCCAGTTACAGATCTGTTGCTGAGCCTGCCACCTTGCCTTCTAGAGAGAGGAGTGTCTCAGTAGCCACAGTGAGTCATGCAGAAAGCAGCAGCCTGACAATGCCGTGCTCAGTTGAGCTGCACCCTGAATGCTTCTGGCCTTCACTTGGGTCTTTTGAGGGAGTTGTGGTGGTGCTGATTAATCAGAAGGAGAAGGACTTGGGTTTGCATGTAATGAAAATGCAGGAGCCCAGCACAACTTTCTGACATGAAACGGGCTCTTTTTGAAGCTTTTCTAAAGGATTGCCAACTGTTGGGAAATGGGTTTTACCTCCTTGTTTGATGTCTCCCCTTGCTATTGTGGTTACAGGAGCGATACCGGAAAGCCTTGGCAGATTCCGAGAATGTCCGGAGGAGAACGCAGAAGTTTGTGGAAGATGCCAAGCTCTTTGGTGAGCAAAGTGAGGCAGAGCTGTGTTTAATGCGGTGGCCCGCCTGCCTGAGCATAAAATGCTGATCAACGCTTTTCTCTCCCTCTGCCCTGCCCTCGTTCATTGTAGTCTGACATGATGTCTGGCCTGGACTCTTGGTGTCTGGGCTTACTTGCTGTTTTTCTGTACGTCCAGCTGCGTCCTGTCAGGTTTACCTCAGTGACTGTTCTGTGATATTTTTCTTTGAATAAAATAGGCCCAATGCAGTTGCGTGTAGTTCTACGGACTTGGTTGAAATCACAGGCTCTTCTGTATGCTCAGAACTGGCTCTGGCAGAGTGTATTTCATACTCTCAGCTGTGTCATCAGGATGTGATCTCCTGTACTATATTAACAGCCTCTCCTCTTTTGCTCTAGCTTTTAGGAGGTAGATCCTGCGTGGGACAAAGATTGTAAATACCTATATCAGATGTTTTTTAAAATGTCTGTAAGAAATATTTTAGCATCAGTGAAGTGAGCTGAATTTATAGCTTTGGCAACAGAGACAGGTGAAGTGGGAAAAAACTTCTGATTAATCATTGCACTCTGTCAGCACCATCTCTGAGAACCAGAAACTGCTATTCTCCACAATGCATGAATCTCAGAAGGTTTTTTAGTTAATTCTAGTAGCTTTGAAATTAGAGCTGCTGTATTTTTCTTACTGTTCTTCCCATTGTGCCATAAAATAGCTGTTGACGTCTGGGATAATCAGCATCATTGGTTTTGAGAGGGCTTTTTTGAGCTCTTTTAATTTTATGTGTAGTATGCTTTAGATTTGAAGGAAAATTAGGTTCTTTATAGAAGTTGCTCTGTGTTTCTCTTGGGGTCTGTAGAGGTGCAAAAGGAAAACCTGAAAAGAGGTTGTAGCAGGGTGAGTGTCAGTCTCTTTTCCCAGGTAACAAGTGATACAATGAGCAGAAACAGCCTCAAGTTGTGTCAGGGAGGTTTAGATTGGTTATTAGGAAAAATTTCTTCACAAAAGGGTTGTTAAGCACTGGAACAGGCTGCCCAGGGAAATGGTTGAGTACCATACCTGGAGGTGTTTAAAAGAGGTGTAGATGTGGCACTTAGGGACATGGTTTGGTGGTGGACTTGGCAGTGTTAGGTTAATGGTTAGACTCAATGTTCTTAAAGGTCTTGTCCAACCTAAGTGAGCCTGTGATTCTATGAAATAGTTGGTAGTTGGTCTGCTTCTGTCTGCTCTTTTGTTGCTTCTTCACGCTTTTTCCTTCTGTGCATGTTTAAACATGTCTGTACACTATAGAGAGCACCTGACTGTTGTTTCTCTTCTCTCCTTTCTAATGTGTCTTTCCAGTAAGTTAGTGATGGCATCTATGTAAGTGAGGGAAGCTGGCTTTCCTGAAATTTCTGCATGGTGTAATATACCACTTCTGGAAATGTGTACAACCTAAACCCATTTTTCTAATGAAAATGACTGCATGACTTTTGATGACCAACCCAAGGACAATTTTGTCCAGTCCTTCCACAGTGGTTTTAACTTATGAATAAAACTGTGGATGTACTTTTGAATGGTCATGTATTATTTTTACTTCCCCCCGTTGTGTTTGTTCCCTCTGTGTATGGGCATTTGTGTAAGTTGTTTGGCAAAACATCTATGTCTGCAGGACTGTATGAGAGGGTATGGAACAGTGTCTTAGATGCAAGAACTTTTTGGAGTGAAATACTAATGGTATGCTTTGCCAGGTATAATATATATATATATATATATATATATAGTGATGTGTATAGATGTATCTTTCCTGCATATACTTTGATTTCGGGAGTCTTTCAATTACCACCCATGGAATGATAAAGCTTTGGCTACAGGATACAGAAGACACTGTCTGCTCTCACTAAAGTAACAGTTCAAATCAATTAGCAGCTTTAAAAGTGCTTTGAAATTGCTATGACTTTGTGCCTGTCATTGTACTGTAGCTCTGCGTGTTCTGTAAACCGCCCTCCATTTACTTCTTGCTTCCTTGTGCCTGTAGGGATCCAGAGTTTCTGCAGGGACCTTGTGGAGGTAGCAGATATCTTGGAGAAGACTGCTGAGAGTGCTGCAGAAGAAGCAGAGCCTAGTAATCCAAATCCAACCCTGAAGAAAATCTATGAAGGCCTGTCTCTCATAGAGGCCAAATTGCAAAGTGTATTTGCCAAGCACGGCCTTCAGAAGATGAACCCTGTTGGTGGCAAATATGATCCATATGACCATGAAATCGTCTGCCATGTACCAGCCGAGGGAGTGCAGCCGGGCACGATAGCGCTGGTGACTCAGGATGGCTATAAACTCCATGGTCGCACCATCAGACACGCACTCGTCGGCGTGGCAGTAGAGTCACAGGAATGACATGGGCTTACCTGTTGACATCTGGGACCTTACTGAGCTGAGGAACCCTCAGCTCTTGGTCACAACTGCAGCTGCATGTCTTTACTTATTTATTAAGCTAGGTTTGTATTGTATGTTGGCTTCTTTATAATGTGTGCAGTCATTTTGCCATTAATTCTAAGGTACTTGTATATTTAATAATCCTTTTTGGAGTACATGGAGTAGTACTAGGAGTCCTGCTATTTGTCAGAAATATGGCACTGTAGCCCCTTTCTCCATTGCTTGTTTCTCCATTAAGACTTGTGTGGGGAAGAGGGGAGATACGGGAGAGAAAGGGAAATTCTCTGAGAGCTAAGGAATCTTGTCTCCTGGTTCTATCTCTGAGACAGACTCCTGCAGTGACCTTCAGGAAAGTAACTTCTCTGCCTCAGTTTCCATGTCTGTATTAAGGGAATATAATAATACTTACTGACCTACCTCACAGGGATGTGGTAAGGCTTTTTCTTTGCAATGGGCTTGGAAGAGGAAAAGCCCAAAGGACTGAGTATTATTATCAGGCTGATTTTGGTGTCTCCCCTTGTCCCCAGACCCTTTGGGTGGGTATGAAGATGATCCTTTGAAATGACATTTAGGGGCAGCTTTTTCTTACGTCACTTCAGGAAAACAATCCTAAATTAATGAAGAAATCTCTGTCATACTACAGTTGAATAGGAATGAGGTTTTAAAAATAATTCTGTTGTTGGGTCAGACTGATGTTAATATTTTTGTCTCCAGGTAAAATTTCAACTTGCTTCCTTGTTTCTAAAGGTAAAACAGGGAGTATTGGTTCTTGGTGGAGCCAGAAAACTGTTCTCGCATCTCTTCTTCTCCAATCAAAAAGTATATTTTAGAGGAGGGTAATTTCTCTTCCCTGATGGGTATTTGTGCAGCTTTCAAGCATGATAAACTATATGCTTTTCATTGCAGCTGCTGGCAAAATGGAGATGAAGCAGGATATCTGGACTGTTTTATTTTTTCAGCTCTTCCAATAACGGTACTCTGATAACACTAACTTCCAGTACAGATTCAGATTCTGCTTTTGTGTGGTCATAGTAAATATTAAACCTTTTGGGGTTTGATACAAGGAGAAAAATCTTTTCTACTAAAAGTCTCAAGTGCCCTTGAACCAATTTTAGCAGCGGTGACAAGAAAGCGAGAGAAGCAGAAAGCTGAGGAAGTGAAAGCTGACCTCGAGACGTCCTCTTAGTTAGAGGCATGTTGTTGTCGCAGTATGGCATATGTATTTCCCAGTGGTCATTTTTCCTGGGAGTCCATTTATCTCAGCTGAAAGGATGCAGTCACCGAGTAAGATCAGAATTTAACTCTTTACAGAGCAGTGAGCAGTATAATGACAGAAGAGTTCTATAAACCAGCCTATGGTCTGCGTTACACAAAGCCAAGGCAGGAATGGTTGTTTTCAGGTGGTTTCTTACAGATTGGTTCATTTCTGCCGCCTTTGCTTTCTGGAATTGGATCCATAGCCTGACAGTTATGAGATCCACTTCCAGAAAGTCTTTACTTGCGGTGGATGCCATCACTGGTTTGGAAGAAAGCTCATTCTTCTCCCGTTCCTTTGCAGGCTTCAGTGCGTAATCCTTTTGTGGTGGACTTCAAGATTACCGCATCGTTCAATTAGCAGCTATCGACAGTCTTTCATCTGGGGAGACTATGTGCAGCTAGTTGGTTGTCACTCTAGAAATATAAGGAAGAGGCACATTTCTGATACGCTCCGTGCAAGCAGCTTTAGTGACAGCTGTGTGGGGGTGACTCGGTGGTGGATACTTTTTGAAGCACTGTTTTCTGCTTCTGCGTAGTTAGGTTTTCAGGCAGGTACTTGAGATTTCAACCCCTGAACAGTGCTTCACGGCAGCGTTAGATCACTTCGGAAAAAGCTTGTTCAGTGCTCTTGTTTTATCACGCTGTTGGAAATTTCAGAGATGTGCAGGATTTCTGTTCAGTTTTTTGCCGGTCTACATGCTGACTGGGTCACCAGGTTACGCTGTTACTCAAGACAAAGAACAGGTAAAATATGAAACTTGGCAATGCAAGTCTTGCTGTTCTGCCTCAGGACTGTCTGCAGCCTGTTCTGAGGAAATGTGTCTTCAGCTGGAAGGAGCAGTTGGATTCTCTGCTGCTTCTTCAGCCCCTGCTGTATCAGCTGAGTCTTTTTGCAATATGTGGAAAGAGCTGGTTAGGGAAACTTAACTTTGAATGTGAAACTATTTGTAAGGAACTAAACAAAAGCAAAGGCATTTTACACAACAGGTAGTTTTCTGTCATAGAAAGGCAGCAGCTTAGCTGAGCTGGATTTAAAAGTAGTGTGTGATCAAAAATGATGGGATCCAAAATCCTCTTTAAACTGACCCATGGAGCCACTTGACTGTGAAAGTATCTACAGCTGCTTGGTCCACCACCGGGCTGTTTGCCAAGCCTGTCTGTCTCCTCAGCCAGTATTCACCCATTTTTGCCTTAAAGAAATACTCTAAAATGCACTCCAGACTTTCTGTCTGTACTAGGAGGTTAGTGATTCAGCTTGTGTATCTGGGATCCGCTTTCACTGAGGCACTGTTGTTGGCTAGAGCAGGAATCTGAGGGATCCAGTTCCTGCACAGTCTTTCTCACCCTCCCACAGGCCCTGTTTAATTTTGGGCAAGCTATTTTCCCAGTTCATGCCCCAGCTTTTTAAATCTATGAAACTTCTACAGGATCTTATTGGGCTTTTATGATGAATACTGTAAGATGTACCCATTGCTTAGAGACTCTTTTACAGAAGTTACCAAAGAGATAAATACTGTAGCTGTTGTTTGTCCTAATTTCTGCTTCCTTTGAATGGTGAAGTGAAAATGAAATAACCAAACCTGGATTCCATCAGAGAATCCAGATTTTCTAGGCAAAATTTGATTCTCTTGCCTTTCAAGCACACTTAATGATTTTTTTTATCATGGATGAGATTGCATAAGGGCGGATAGTATTTCTCCTTTGTAGGTTCTTGCTCCCTGATTGTGTAAAGATTGCACACTCAGCACAGTGGGGCGGAGTCCCAGTTGGTGTGACTCCGTCGCACTCTGCCATTACGCCAGAGAGGAGACCTGCCCGTCAGCTTTTTCTCTCAGGTCACTTTATTGAATGACTGTTTAATACCACACAGGAGTATGTTAGCAGGGACCGAATAGCAGAGGAGAGGAAGTGTCATGTACCTCTTTGTCATTTCCACTCCATTTGTCTGGCCGTGAATGGAAGAGCTCGCTCTGGGAATGCAGACAACTAGATAAGACATGCACGTGGTGGTGATGTGTGGACCTGCATTCCTGCTTTCGGGAAGTGGGCAGCCCACTGGCCGTGGGCATTTGCCATGTTCTGTGACCTTGCTGTACCCCATCAGTGGGACGTGTTTGAGTTGAGCTGCTGGACGAGGCTCCAGTGGCACTGTCTCGTGAGCATGGCAGCATCTTAACTCTGACCAGGGGCAGTGCAGAATGTGAATGTTGCTTTGTGAACCTTAAATTCTCTGCTTCATCAGCAGAGCTTCTGTTGAAAGAGACAGCTGTGATACATCGATAGCTATTAGTCCTTTAATTTTTTTTTTTAATGTATTTAAGTTTTATATTGTGAATATTGTAGTATTTTTTTTATTTTAAAACTTGAGATGTTTTAATATTACTTGCAAAGTCAAATGAACAAAATATTGCTAATCTCCAAAAATCTAAGTCCATTTATTTAGTGGGAAACCTGTATATATTGTACTTTTTTTGTGCGTTTCTGTGCTTTTTGTTTACCCAAAGGTCCTGGCTGTATGAAAGACAAAGACTGAAGTGTGGGAGTGGTGCAAGTAATTGACAACAACATTTGAGTTAATGTTGGAAAGGGCTGATTTCCTTTAGATGTCCAGATACTGTCCATTTGCTAATAAAAAAAAAAAAATTGCAGTTGCTTGTTTTTCCTTTTTTCCCTCCCCCAAACTGCTGCTGCTCGTTCTGACTGGTGCTCAGATCAGGTGGAACTGCAGAAGGTTTCTCTCTGTTCCTGATCCGATGGTCTAAAATAAGAGCTGTAATCCTTGAACATTTTATTAACAATGCTTTAGGTGGACTCCCAGAAATGCTCACACATGTGTGAGTGCTGTCTTTCCTCGCGCAGGTGTGGTGTTGGGGATTTCTGTTGTGTCATTCCCTGGTACTTCCGTGCCTGCTCCCTGTCTGCTCCTGGTAACTCTGCTCGTGGACCACCTCGTAGAGAAATGCCACCTGCCAGCCTTTGGTGGTGGTTCATTCTGCACAACTCTGCTAGCAGTTGAGATCTTGGTACCTGGTTTTTGCCATCCTGTTCTCTCACAGCTCTGCTTTGCTGCATTTTTGCCCTTGTGTGTGGTGTGTTGTAGCAGGCACGCTGTATGGCAGCTCAACTAAGGATGGCTAAATATACAGTGTATGTTAGCGCTTGTGGTATCCACAGGTGGGTTATAATTTCAGGGATTTGTTGAAGAAGAGAACAGGCTTTCTCTGTAGGGGTGTGATTGTAACAGATCTCATTCTCCCTTCCTGCATCTTGTGCAAAAATAGCAGTTCCTCTGTTCCTGGTTTTGCCACAATGCCCTTGGGCACTTCTCACTAGACAAACCTTTGCAAAAGGCTGTTCACAAATGGCCGGCCTTGGGTGAGATCTACATTTCTGTGCTAAAGATCTGCCAGCAGAGTCGCCTTGTGATGGCAGAGGCAATGTCCCATCACAGGGGCTCTTCCTCATTCTGCCTAGTTAATGTGGGCACTGCTCTACGTTTGCTGACCAGACCAGGAAACGTGGCTGCCTGCTGCTGTGTGAGTTCATTTCTGGCTCTGCTGGTTTTTCTCTGCAGCAACAGTGAGAGTTGGGAGTTTTCAAACCACAGCCACCGCCATCTGCAGAAAAGCATTGGGCTTTGTGAGTACGGGGAAGAGCATTTTGCTTATGGTGCAGAACGCCTGCAAGCAAGGCAGGGTCTGCCATGAGAGGGAGGCGATAGGGTGCGGTGTTGACCCGGGCTCCTTGGAGCCTTGCCATGTGTACAGACAGATTTCTGGTCGCCCACAGCCGTGGTGAAATCAGGCCCGTTAAGTAAGAGCTTTTTAAAACCTGAGGCATGCTGCAAAGGTAGTGCTGTGTTTTAAGCAGCTTTGGGAACATTGCCTCCCCGTTCTGGTGGGTTGATAGTGCCCGTTGTAAGGACTCTGGTGAGATGAGCAACAGTGGGTTTTGTATG